TCGCCCCCTGGTACGAACTATAAACATTTATTTATTTAATAAATAAATTATTAAATATAAAACATGAAAAAAAAACAAAAAATACACAAATATTAAAAAAATTCATTTTATATCATTTGACTAGACTTAGCCCCCTCAATACCAAATATGATTGAAAAAAATTTATATCAGAAGTAAATTTAGCACCCTTAAAAACATAAAAAACACACGTCTTGGGAAAAATATTTAAAGAATAATTTTTTCCGCGTAAATTTACCTCTCAGACCACTGTGAAACGGCTCTGTTACGAATCTCCCAACACCTGTGCGTCGTCGTAACGCACGGTCTATTGAGAATGTTGCTGCTGTTAGAGAAAGTGTGCATGAGAATCCTAAACTCTCAATTCCCAGACGTTCCCAAGAATTGGGCCTCAGTCCTTAGTTTGGCGAATCTTGCGCAGACTTGAGATTGCACCCCTTTAAGATCCAGTTGACCCAAGAGCTCAAGCCAAACAATCATCTTTTGCTAATTGGGCTCTAGAGCATTTGGAAGCAGACCCGAATTCGGCCAGAAAATCATTTTTAGCGATGGGGCTTATTTTTGGTTGAACGGCTTCGTTAATAAGCAGAACTGTCGGATTTGGGGTGGAGCAAACTCACGAGAGATCGAAGAGCGTGGCGGTGTCATCTTTGAAGATGAGCAAGATTTCTTTTAGACTCCATTGTAGGATATGGATCTGGAAAATATGTTTTTCTAACAGTACGTGAAACACTGGACTTGGTTCTGTAATTTTACGTGACGGCAATATCAATTGGCCAGCGAGATCATTTGATCTTAATCCTTTGGATTTTTTCTATGGGGGTATGTAAAGAGTCTGGTGTAAGCAAACAAGCCTCGAACTATTGAAGCACTCGGAGACAATATCCATTAAGTAATCCAAAATTGGGCTTCTCGAATGGACGCAACTCATCGAAGCCGCGGAGGCTTGCCGGATGTTATTTTTCATACATAATGTCATAATACGTTTTTTAATCGACTTCAAAGATCTATCACTCTCATACTGTGTGTTTTATTTGTATTATCTTCTTCTTGGTACTGGGTGGATTTCCTCACAACATTTTTTTATTTAAGGTGGAAGTATCAGACCGCGACTCTTTGAACATATGACACCACGCGATGTGCGACAAAAATAATGGCGCGAACTCGGATAACCACAACCACAACAAAAAAGTCGACCACCAAAAATCCACCAACGAAGACTGCAAGTTGCACAACAACTTCCATATGAACCACAAGTCGTCGAACGTCATACAAAACGGACACGTCTGTCAAATTCTGATCGACGACGGGTGCGTTTTACACAGTTCATTCGAGAAAAACGAAGCTGACAGCTGAAGGAAGGGACAATGCTTGCTTTGATGAGAATGTGACGTTTATTGTCTGTTAGTCTAATTTAATAGATGGTTTTTAAAGAATTTTTTAACAAAGATATTTTGGGTGGAACGGTCAGTTAAAAAAATACCCTTTATTAAATGAATAACACTTATTTAACTGAATATCTATTTCGTTTATTAATTTGATTTGTAATGTTAAAGAACAATGTTCATTAAACCTTTTCGAAATAAAATACATTTAAATTCACTATATTTTACAATACAATATCATCAAATCTAGGTTGATTAGAGAGTGGAAATTGAGCCTACGATTTTTGACAAAATGGACTGGAATGGCAAAACGTGGCCAAAATTCATTAAAATAAAAACTAATAAAGATATCGTTATGAAATTTTTAAACCATATTTTTGTGGCGTTAATCTTAATCCTGTACAAATTTTAATTTAATTGGGTCAGTAGCGGCGATTTTATACCGGTTTAACCTACAGGTATAGCACAAACTACACGTAATTGATTAGATTCAGAATTTAGAAAAGTTTAACATCCTCTAATTTTTTTTCAACGTCAAAAATCTAATTTCTACTCCACTGGGTGATATTTTTAGTTATTTAGGTACGTGTTTTCGGAAAGGTTTAATAAAAATATCGTCGGTAAAGCAGTTTTTCATGCTAGTATTCATACAGGAAAAAACAATTTTCGGTACATACTCCTTGAATATTATTATATGAACAGGGTAAAAAATATGTATTTTCATTACCTACACACCAAAACAAATTTATAGACTCCTATCGACATTAACTATGGTCACATTTTCAGATTATTCAAGGCGTTTATAATTGATTGGTTGATACATTTGTAAATAAAGTGTAATTGTGCTTTAGTATTTGTTAAAAAAATATCGATATATTAAAGACTGGACGAAAACATTAAAGGATTTGTGTATGAAAAAGGTTTTCAAAATTGAGCGCTTAGACGGTGACCGCTCACGATCATCCCGTCGTATACTGCGGCACAGTCTGTGGCTGAGGCTAGCCTCCACCGTATACCGTATAATTGCTTATTGCAGGTCGCGAGAACTTATATGGATTTTGAATATCAACGGAATCTTCGGACGCGTAGCCTTCTCTGTGACGTAGTTTATATAAAGTCCGTTTATATAGCGCGCGGTTCAGTACTTTGATTTATAACAAACAGATATCATTGTAATATAATTATGATTGGAAATTTGATTACAATTTTAATTAATTAAACTTTTAAGTAAAAAAATAATAGGCACATAATTAAATAAAATTATTGACAAACCGCCACTGGATATTCGGCAAATCGGGAATGACTGAAAAATCAGCTAACCGCCTTATTTTTCAAAAATTTGTTTAAACTTATTAATAAAAATTGTATGCGGTCGCGAACGCGGCTTGACTAGTAAAGTTTAGGAAAATTAAATTTAAAAAAAAGTAAATAAATTTACATACATGAGTATAAGTCAATTAATAGATACCCGCTAATGTACGAAAAATTTTAAGTCGGAAATTAAAAAAACGACTTGAAAATAGAAAAAAAACTATATTCACACCCTGTATAAGAGTGTCTTCTAAATGGGTGGATAAAAGGGATTCTTCTATGAAAAATATAAAAAAGTAATGGCAGATTTATCTGAAATTTTAACGCCATCTTTTGGAAATTCCAAATATGCCCCCGTATATACCAAATTTTAGGAATAATCATTTTAATTTTGTAGCCCCATTTTTTGATAGAAAAAAAATCAAATTTTATTTGATCACATTAAAGAATATTAAGTTTTCTGTAAAAATTATTTTTCATTACAATAAATAAACCTCATTAAATTTTAATAGGTTATAAAAACTTTTTGAGATTAAAGACCGAAAGCCTCGATTATTTTCACGCATTAAAGAAAGAACCTGCATAAATTACAATTAATAATTTTTTGTAAAGACTATTTGAAAAGAGCAAACAAACTGGCTGGATTTTGGATATGACGGACATTAAGAAAAAAAAAATAATCGTTTTATCTCGTATCCTAATGACCGAACAAAAAAGTTTTAGTACAAAAAATGTAGAGCTATATATTTTCAATATAAATGTTATAAGCAAAACTTTTTCTATTTAATTCCTAAAAGGATTAAAATTTTTTCTAAAAAAATATGACATTTTTTGTTTTAAAACTTTTTTGAAGGCCCAATACGAAGCGAGATAAAACGTTACAAAACTTTTTTTTATTTACATTAAATTAATTAAATATATGTCATTGTATGCTTGAAAACCTCATCTCATATCATAAGCTATGCCTTTCTTAAGCTGTGCCTATTCTACCCTCTAGAATTACAATTTAGACACATTCTAGGTAAAATCAACCTGAATCCTTGATTACTCACTGACACCTAAACTCTTCAACTAAACCTAACATTTATCCAGGAAATTTAATATTCTAATCCTTGAATATAAATTTAAAAAAATTAAATTAATTGTCAGGGATTCCAAAATTTACCTTTCTTAATTAAAAAAAATAATGAAAACGGTAAATTCTTTACAACTAAGTACTAAAAAAATTAAAATAAATAATGAACTTGTTAATTTTGAATAGTTTTTATATAAAATTCAGTTTTTATTAATTTAAATGTTGATTTTTAATTATCTCAACTGTATACTTAATAAAAAATAAACGATATTAAAAAATAAAAACCTATAAGTAAACGTTAAATGTTAAATGTATTATATACGAAATATTTAACCAAATATACTATTGATGTTAAGTTTTCCGTTTCCAAAAATTCAAATTATATTAACGTTATTTTATCGGTTAATTTTATATAAGTAATAAAACTCTGTAAATAATTAAAACACGCATAAAGACTGATTTTAATAAAATAAAAAAATATTTAAAATAACCCTTTAAAAACCCCGGCAAAATTTAATTTAAAATATCCTCATTAATTTACCTTGCTTGGGTTGAATAAATAAAAATAAATCAAGAAAACAAATTTTGCAGTAACTCAAGTAACATATGACATTTGACAGTAAAATGTCAAAACTGACAGATAACCGTTAAAATTGACAGATAACATACAAACATACATGTTATTGTAAATTTTGTAATGTTTTAAACATGAACGCTAAAAATCTCTTCTACTTAAATTTTAACCGTAGGTACGGCCTAACTATACCACTTTTAGATTGCTTTAATATACAAAACCCTTGTAAAATGTTCAATGTACAAAATATAGAACCTAAAAAATTACTAAAAAAAATCTCCATAGAAAAACGCTTTTAATTCCAAAAATGACTTGTTTGCTTAACTTAACTTTATTTCATTATGAATGTTACATAAATAGGGGAACAATATTTCATGTAGTAAGAAAGTTTCCCAATATTTTTTGAATAAAAATTAATGGGAAACTTAAACATACATATAGGTAGCTGTTTTTAAATGTGTAAACAGTTAAACGCAACGATATTTGTACTAAAATTATACCCGTAATAATAAATAAATACGTACCAGTAAATAACTTGTTTTTTTCAAACCAAATAAAAATTCACAAATTTCAATAAACAACAAAAGTTCAAAATCTGGAAAGCCATGTTTAAAATGTTTACTAGTGCCATCTATTGGTGCTGTCATGGTTGAATTTAAATTATCCCCAATACTAGTTAAACTGCAAATAAATAAATATAAATATCCTATTTTTAAAAACGTTAAATTGGCTTAAATAGTAAGTACTATTTACATTTACCTAAAACACCTTAAAAACACACAAACATACAGCGCCATCTAACCATCACATTATCAACCTCCATCAACAGCCCTGCCAACATTCCCACAGAAAAACTCCCCGCAATTTCGACTTGTCATTTGCGAAGTTTGTTTGTGGTCAAAAAATCCAGCAAAATGCCGATCGAAAACCTCGAAGATCAGGGTCTAGAGAAAAACCCGGACTTGGAGTTAACGAATTTCAAGTTCCTGCTCACTTTGCCGGAATTCCGAAGCGATCGAAGTGTACACCAAAAAATCAGCGATGCTATAAAGAAAGACGGTAAGTTTGAGATGACTTGTCAAATTAAAAATTATTCTCTTTGGGGAAAACAACCACAAAAACATGCATATTATTGCATTATCACTAATAATTAACGTCTGTACTTTAAAATAATCACATTTTATTATGTATTTACGTGAATTCATGGTGTAATTAAAAACATAACCCTACTTTATAAATTCACTGTTTTCTCCTAAATATTATAATAATTAAAGACATGGCGCCATGGTACGAGCTGGTCTGCAAAGACGCGGGTTGGAAACTAGATGCGAACCTCCTAAAACAACTAAAAACCAAGAATGAGGAACAAATTAAGAAACTTGATGAGGCTATCGAAGATGCAGAGAAAAACCTTGGCGAGGGTGAGGTAAGGGAGGCTTATTTGAGGAAAGCCGAGTATTACAGTCGTATTGGTGATAAAGACAACTGTGTGAGCACATTTAGACAGACCTATGACAAAACTGTTTCACTGGGTCATCGTTTGGACATTATCTTTCATTTAATTCGTATTGGGTTGTTTTTTATGGATCACGATATTATTGTGCGCAACATCGATAAGGCTAAAACGTAAGGAACACTGCAAGTTCACTTATGAAGGTTATAATGTGGTGTTTTAGCTTAATCGAAGAAGGGGGCGATTGGGATAGGCGTAATCGTTTAAAAGTGTACCAGGGGGCTTACTGCATGGCTGTGAGGGACTTCAAAACGGCCGCCACTTTATTTTTGGACACTGTAAGCACTTTCACCTCATACGAGTTGATGGATTACAAGCAATTTGTGAGGTATACCGTGTACACTTCGATAATCAGTTTGCCCAGGAATCAGCTGAGAGATAAGGTTGTTTTTTTTTTGGGAATTTTTTCTTTATTACTTGTGCATTTTTTTTTAGGTTGTGAAGGGTTCTGAGATTTTGGAGGTTTTGCATTCTGAGCCTTTTGTGAAGGATTATTTGTTTTCCCTGTATAATTGTCAATATGCTGAGTTTTTCACTAATTTGGGTAAGTTTAATAATAATGTTTTTTTTTTTGTGTATTAATAGGATTTATAATTTTTTTTACTTTAAACCAAGATATTTTATAATTATTATGATTACAAAAAAATCTTCAGATACCTTTTTTGTAGAGCATTCAATTCACTATCAATCACCCTTATATTTATATTTTTGTACATTTTATACTAAAAAATGAGAAAAAAAACATTTTAAAGTATTAATGTCTACATTTAAGGTGTTAAAACTTTAAAAGTGTCAAGATTTATTTAACAAAGTATTTGGAATGATAAAATTTAATATTGTTGAAAAAAAATTTTATTTTTAAAGGTAAATATTTTTTTATGCACTTTTATGTTTTTTATTTTTTTTTGTTATAAAATTTATTAAAATTTCTTATAAATATAAAAAACACATTTAGAATGTCAGATGAATTAAATAATAAATATATAAAATAAATTTCAGAACCTCAAAACAAAAAAACACATTTTTAAAATTGAAAAAGCCATTTAAAAGCTGTTAAAAGTAATAAATGTGAAACTACATTTTAAATTGTCAAAAGGTTAAAAACATAATTCAAAATTAAAATCTCAGGGGTACAGAAAAATTAAAAAATAAACCAGATAAACTAGAAAAAAGTGTTTTAATTGCTGGGCATGCTATATGGAATTACATTCTAGAATATCAAATATTATTTATAAATAATTTTGATGAAAGTGCATTTTACGACATTGACGAATTGGCTATGCATTTGGGTGAATCACCGAAAAAATAAATAAAGGTTTTTATTTTAACATACACCTTTTTAATAGTAATTTTCCTAGTCAATGTATTTTGCCTCAAAGAAGCTGGAAAAAATTGGTAGTTCAACGAAACAATCTTTATATTAATTTTTATTATTATTACTAATAACTAAAACTTTTTATTAATTTATTGCTCGTTAAATTGGACAAGCTGGCCCAGAAATCGAGAAAAAAACGTTTTTAATACGCAATAAAAGAGAATTTCTTAAACTCACTTTTTTAATGGACATTAAATATATTAAAAATACTTATGTATGTAAGAAAGTTGAGAAATAGAACATAGTTTTTGCTTTTACTTAGTTTTGTACTTAACATTTTTTTATAAATAATAAATTTATGTTCTTTTTTTAAACAAATCGTAGTGTGAATAAAACCTTAAAATTATTATTAACTAGCAAAAAAATATATTTTCAAAATAATTAATAATAAAATAATAAAAATATACGGAATATAGGTTAATAAAACAATGTAGTAATGAGTCAAACCAGGTAAAATGTGGGAATGAGTTTTTATTGATTTTTTGAAAGTTACAATATTAATAATAATAAGAATAATTGTAAAAATCTGTTGATAATAACTAAACAAAAAATCATTTTTTAAAATTCTGCAGCGTTTTTATTATTTTTAGTAATTAAGAAATTTACAACGTTTAAAGACATCTTGGGAAAAAATAATCTTATAAACAAAAAAAGTGTTTTAATTGCCATATAGTATTAAATTCGAGCATTTCAAATATTATTTACAAATTAATTTGATAAAAAAGTGCATTTTACTGGCGAATTGGCGCGGCTATCTAATTCATCAGCGAATCATTTACGCATTTGGGTGAATCCCCGAAAAAAACAATTGAGGTTTTTATTTAAAACGTACTTTACCATACCGCAAAAATTTTTTAAAATGTGTCAACATTACTTAAAATGGAAAAAAACATTTAGAATGTCAGATAAATTAAATAATGTAAGTACTTAAGAATTTTACAACATTTAAAGAAATTTTGGGAAAAATAATCTTATAAAATAGAAAAAAGTGTTTTAATTTCTATATAGTATTACACTGCACGTCAAAATTAACGCATAATAAGTAAAAAATTCTAGAGATGGGAAAATTCCCATTTGACGAAAAGTCCCGGAAACTTTCCATCGAAAATTCCCGAAATTTACATTTTTTTTATTGCGAAAATATTTTTTTTATGGCAGGGTTTTTTGTGATGATGCTGAATAATCCTGCTTCATTGAGGTTATGTAACATAACTTAACACACATTAAATTCTTATTCAAAGTTTCTTGGCCTTGTATCATGGCCTTAAGAAAAATCAGCGGTTAAACAATTGACATTTAAATGAAAAAAAACAAGGAAAGTTTCCAAGGAATGTTTCCGGTAGCTTAAAAGAAACTTTCAAAATGAAAATAAATTCCCAATTGGAAACTTTCCAAAACGGAAAGTTTCCTTAAAATGGAAACTTTCCGATTTCCATCTCTAAAAAATTCTAACTCCAAAACGCCTTTACCAATCTTAATGAACTTTTGTATAAAAATACTTCAACTTATATCTCAGTTTACGTGTTCAAAGGTTTTTCGAGAAAATATTTTTAAAGCACTTTTATTTAATAATAAAAAACGTTTGAAAAGGGTTTTTTTTAAGTAAATAAAAATATGCTGTTAAAGGCCGTATTTTTGTTAGTATACCCTGAAAATTTTATACAAATCATACGAACAGTAACGAAGATACATCGCTTCAAAGTCGGTAAAAATGACCCCTTTTTGATTATTTTTCTGAAAAGTGGTCATTTTTGACGGCTATGAAGCGCTGTATTTTTTTTACTGTTCGTTTGATTTGTTCAAAATTTTCAGAGTATACTAACAAAAATACGGTCTTTCACAACATATTTTTTATTTACTTAAAAATAAATTTCCCTATAAAAGTTTTTTTTTCGAGCATTTTTTATCATTAAATAAAAGGGCTTTAAGGATATTTTCTCGAAAAACCCTTAAACACGTAAACTGAGATATAAGTTAAAGTATTTTTATACAAAATTTTATAAAGATTGGTAAAGGAGTTGGATTTTTTTTACTTAGTACGTTAATTTTGACGCGCAGTGTATTATAAGCATTTTACGAAAATTGGTAAATCCACGAAAAAAATCAATTGCGTTATTTAAACTTACCTTACGATACCTCAAAAATATATTTGTATTGGTAGTTATTATTTTATTACCTTATATTAATATATTTCCAATTTTCCAGTTTTATCTGATAATTTATTTTTTTGTCAATTTTTCCCGGTTTTTTCAATTTTTAGTCGAGGCAAATTTCAGAATTTTAAAAATGTTTAAGAATCTTAATCTTACTTAATTATGTTTAGAAGCTTATTTCAGAACTTTTTATTAACTTAATACAGTTTTAATAAAATTTTGCCTAAAATATGTTAAAAATTTCAAGCAAACGATGTTAATTAAACTATTAGTATACATGTTAAAATAAAGGAATTTTTAATAAATTCAAAAAATTTTCAGCTGAAGTCGAAAGCGTTCTACGTAAAGACTACTTCCTAAACCCTCACTACCGCTATTACGTGAGGGAAATGCGAATTTTAGCTTACACACAACTTCTAGAATCGTACAGATCTCTAACATTGCAATACATGGCCGAAGCCTTTGGAGTTTCCAAGCAATTTATCGACCAGTAAGTAAAACATGGTGTTAATTTTTCTTTTTCAGCAAGAACCTTAAATTTATGCGCCTTGAACAAACTATGCCTTACTTTTTAGGGAATTGTCGACTTTCATCGCCTCAGGTAGGCTGCACTGCAAAATTGACAGAGTTGGCGGTATAGTAGAGACAAACAGGCCCGATTTGAAAAACGCGCAGTTCAACTCTGTGGTTAAGCAAGGCGATTTGCTTTTAACCAGGGTTCAGAAATTATCGAGAGTAATCAACATTTAAAGCGCTTTTTTTATGCATTATCATACTTTTTTCGTTCTCATATTCATGTGAGTTTTTTATGTACTAATACTAGGCGAATAATAAATTTATTTAAATCCAAAATCTTGTTTCGTTTAAATATTTAATTACCCAATAAATTAAAGGTAAGTACCTATGGAATAACAAAACTACAACTTTTAATGATCAGCTGATTTTTTAAAAGGAAATCCTGGGTTGAGTTTTTACCGGTTTTCCAATAAACAGTGGAAATCCGAATGAAGAAATAAATGGCATACAGTCCCTGTAAATATAAATTGTACCTACTAGATAGATTAGACAATAAATACACATTTTAGTAATGATTTACGTAAAAATTGTGAATATTTCAATTTAGTAAAAATAATAAAACAAATAAGTCGTCTAAATTCAAACAGCGTTGTGCATTATTAAAAACGTTGATTGAGAAAGTCTCCACTCAACGGTAAAAACCCAAAAACGGGTATTATATATAATATTTTGTTGCCATGAATTCGTAGATATATTTTTTTTTAATATTTGAAAATGCAGTTGTCTGCTTTTTTAGAGGACTCAACTATAAAAATACTTGATTTTAAGGTTATGTTTGTACAACTATTATTTTTTGTTAGATTTCTTTAAAATGTCAAAACTTAAATATAAATTATATTAGGTAAAGTTATCATTAGTTAATTCCGCACCGAATTGGACCCTTTGGCAAAACATGAAAATGCAACGATTTAGGTAGTTCTTGAATTACAATAAAAATTCATAATAATATATTAATAATAATATATTTATTTGCCCAACAGAGAATCCAATTACAGGATAAAAATTATTATTCATTTTAAGTAACAAAACGTAAATATATTAAAAAAAAATATTAAAATAGGTGAAATATAAAAAAATGCATGAAATCAATTCTTTAAGTGAACAATTATTTATGTCGCAAAAGTTACCTATTTTATTATAATTTGAAGAGATAACATAAATAGGTTATTTTAACGAAACATTGGTTCTGCAATTACAACAATAAAACATAATATTTTGTCTAGAATTTAAACGTGGTACTAAAAAGTTAAGTTTGGAAAGTAATAACGAAGAGTATGAGTATATGAGTATAAGAGACGTATAACCAGCCCCATTTCCTCTTGACTCTCGAACCCCGTACAGGCCTATGTTTACTTACGCCGATTTTTGTTCTTCCCCAGCAACTGCACGGCTTCACCCGTGTTTGCTGGGTGCGAATGTCCATTGCGTTCCGTACTGTCCCCTATTTGGGGCTCGAGAGCGAGAGGCGAATAGTTATAATAGCCATTCCCGGGTTCGCCGAGCCTATGCTATACGCTCAGTGGGGTATGGAGGAGGGACGGGAGGGTGTTGGTTTTTGGGGGACAATTACGCCGACTTAAAACTAAGTACGACGCGGAATCCCCCTAGACCAGTCGATTAGTATTACTCCAAACATTTGGGATTACTATTTGGAGTTGGGGAGTTGTTATTTCGCTGCAGGGGTGTAGTCTCCTAGTCGAGGTCTTTGTCTTGTTCGTTATTGTCATTGTCCGTGTCCTGGTCAGATAGTTCCTGCCCTTGGTAAAGTGTGTCAGTTGTTTTTAATAATTTTTGTCCCAAGCACGTTTTGTGGTAGAGTTCCGTCTTTGTTTATCAAATTCCAAAGCATTGCATTTATTCACTAGTCAAACAAATCACAAGCGCGATTATTCTGTTGTCTAATGTTTACGAATCTCGAGTTTGGCTATTAGGCCCTTTTTTTTTAATGTGTTAGAATTATGTGATCAATGTTAGTTTACTCTGTCAGTCCAGTGTTTATTTTCGGTCTCGATTGGGACCGCCTTACGCATTTGCTGTTGACAGACTTATTGCCCCACACCGCGTGCCCTTCATAGGTTTTAAAGATATCCCAATAAACACTTTAACGATACCTATCACCATAAACATTGCCCGTGTAAGAATTTTTAACACTTTTTAATACAATTTTGCAATGATAGTAATTAAAAACAAAACAATTGTTTAAAGAGTAAAATATGTTCTTAACATAATCATATTTTAAAGTTATTTTAACATTTCAAGTAAAATAAATGTTATGTTTAATAAAATGAATACGGGCAATGTTAATGGTGACAAATACTTTTTTTTCAAATTTAATTTAAAACTAGCTTAATACAAAATAAATAGCCGGCCCTGTGGTGCATCGCATTAAAATCTGAAACGGCCCCGGTATCAGGCGTGTAACGTATGCTTCAATAGATGGTTTATTTACGTTATGTTATTGCGTGGGCGCTTTGTTTATTTACCTTCCTTCAAGCTTTGCCTTGTGGCTGAATTGCAAGTCGCGTATATTATACAATATATATAATACAATAATATAATATTGCGACGTTCCTGCTTGATTCCTTTTCGCACACGTACGCTGTTTTCGGCAATGGTTAATTGTTGCCAGTTTTTTTTTTACAGATTTGCGTATTAGGTCATGCAATAATACTTATCAGAGTCGGCTGGTGATGGTGATGGTGATGATCCCTTTCGCTCTTTGTTAGACTTGTTTTTTCTTTAAATAGGTGATTCCTTGACCTGTCCCCTGTCACTTTATTACTTCGTGTCCGCACGAACCTCACTCCTATGTTCACCGTTGAGAGATTGCCTTTTGAGGAATTATTTAATGTTTCTATTAACCCCTCGGAGAACAGGTACCCTGATTTCACCTGTACCGTTATGTATACATACTATAGTAACCCAAATAGTAGCACTGTTTCGCACCGTACTTTACTCGACTACACTGTATATAATAGTTATGTTTCTTTAAGAATTTTATTGTGGATCGGCACCGAGCTCTCGAACTACACATCCGCTCGCTTCGCCGGTATCGACAGTACTGGAAGTTTGGAAAGTAATAACGAAGAGTCAACTAAATTATGTAATATTAAAAAAAACCTAACTTGGGTAAAGGCTTCTATTATTTAAAGACATAATATTAAATTCTGTTAAAAAAAGGTCAATTCCCCTTGGGGGTAAATACCATTAAATTTAAAGAATAAATACAAACCGTCTTTGTACTTTTTCTCCAATTTTGAGCGTACTAAGAAGAATTATAAAGACTTAAGGGCTCATGTATTTGAAAAATAGCCGCAATTACGTATAATAAAGCCAAGTGATTTTAATGCTCCCTTACATATTGTGGCGAGTACCGCTCTGGATCTCGGAATGATGACTCATCGCCGGTGAGTCAGCGCTCGAAAGATCGAGAGCGGTGTGGAGCTCGCTGGAATGTTCGAGAAGGCGCTTGCGTGACTAGTGTCATGTAGGCACTGAATATATAAGGAACAGTCAGTCAAGTTTTGGTACTCGCGACGAAATAAATAAATATACGTGCAAATAAATAGACTCTTGAATAGTAGTGATATATAAATAATTATTAGTTAAGTGTTTAGTTAGTTTTATAGTTTCGTAGTGTTTTAAGTGTAATTAAGTTATAAAATAAATACCTAATTTAGTTCATTAATAAACCAGTGCGTGTTTTAATTCACACTACGAACAGTAAAAACGTATATGTTATCTATATGATTTACGAACGAGAGTTTATGGTCAAAACAATACCTAGATCTTTAGTAGAAACAACGCGTCAAACAAGTAGTTGTGAGCAATAGGGTTAGATTTAAGTGAATAAGAACAACCTTTACACTTTTCAACATTCATTTTTAGCTTATTGCGCAAACACCATTTATCCACAAGGTCTACTTGATTTTGAAGTATTAAACATCTTCTATAGTCTGTATACAGACTTTATTACACAGTAAATTTTTAGGTCATCTGCAAATAAGAGATTTTCACAAGCAAGCCGGTACCTAGGTAAATCATTAATAAATATATTAAAAAGTAGAGGCCCCAAGTTAGATTCTTGAGGCACCCGCGATGATCCAGCAAACGGAAAAATATAGAAGTGTATTGGATGACGCCACGTTTGAATACAGTTTTCTAAACCCTCGCCACGGTATAGAGTTGTATTCGTCAGTCGAGCGTTTCAATACTCTCCACAGTATACAGGTCGTAATTTGATTTTTGAACTGGTATTAATATAAAAATTATTTTTTGCTTGAAAAAAACTATGGTGATTTTTTTCATTTTATTAATTAATTAAGCTGTGTTGCATATTTTTCCTAAAGGAATAATTGCCAATGGTTCATTTGTTCGTAGATGCTACAACAACCTGCACTGGTGTGTACTTTTTGATAAACCAGATTTAAACATTGAGATGTGCAGGGTCTACCAGCTGACCTCATTACTAAATTATTAAAGTTTAATAGCATACCCACACGGCAAAAAATATTTCAGAAATATGTCAGAAATATTTCATTGAAATATGATATATTTCGGTTATATAACTGAAATATTTCAGTAATATGTCAGTAATATTTCTGAAATATATAAATGTCCGCATAATGTTTCAATGAAATATTTCTCAAATATGTGAGAAATATTTCGGTTATATATCTGAAATATGTAATATTTTAGAAATAATTCTGAAACATAACAGTTACGTTTTAGAAATATTACTGTAATGTTTTAGTATTATTACTAAAACGTTTCTAATTAAGCCCAATAATTATACAGATTTAAAAAATTATAAAAATTATTGGAACACACTACTTGGACAGTAGCTTATGATAGTTTTGACAAATTCGACAGACAGCTGCTACCAACTTAATAGTGCTTCTAAATAAATTATTATTATTATAATTATTTAGGTAGGTAGTTGGGTATTTATAAATATATATATATAGATCAAATTTTAATTTAATTTTATATTTAAATAATTATAAAAATATTTTTAACCATTTTCAAATGCTTTTATAAAGGAGGTATATGGCATATACTTCTTTTATAAAAGCATTTGAAAATAGTTAAAAATATTTTTATAATTATTATTTTAATATAAAATTGAATTAAAATTGTATCTACATACCTATAGATAAAATTTACTATATATATGCCTCAAGCCATAAAAGATCTTTTATAAAAGCATTTGGAAATAGTTAAACATATTGACGAAATATACCCGAAATATTTCAGATATATTTTATTTGTAATATTTAAAATTAAATATAACAGAAATATTTCACACATATTTAATTTGAAATATAACAACCAGATATATATGAAATATTTCAGACATATTTCGTTTAAACGAAATTGCAATATTTCAATTGAATTATAACCGAAATATTTCAGACATATTTAATTTGAAATGTAATGATGAGATATATGTATATATACATATGTATGAAATATTTCAGGCATATTTCGTTTGTAATATTTCCACTGAAATATGACTGAAATATTTCAGACATATAACAACATTTCCGTAATATTACATGCCGTGTGGGTATCGATCATTTTTTCAACATAACCTCTGAAAATTTTAATACAAATATAGGTACTTTATATAATACATAAATATACTTTACATCATATCCTCTGTGCTTTACATAGGTACCTGAGTTGTTAACCCTGCTTAAAATACCCCTTAGAGACCTATATAAAATAATCTTTCGGTCGCTACCGGATTCAATATGTGCATTTGTCCATGTTTTTCCGGATACAGCCCGATAGAAAATTTATAGGAAATTACCTATAGGCACACCATAACTTTTACATTTATGCTATTAAGACCTATAGCAAATAAATCATTAAAGGATATATATATATATATATATATCCCTATAGGGATATCCCTATATATAGGTTATATATATAGGTTGTTCGAACAACCATAAAACATTTGACCAAATTTTATTAAAACCTATGGGGTCCTATAAGGGAAAAACTAATTTCTACATTTATGTGTATTTTCCCCATTGAAAGCAAAAGCAAATAAATCAAGGGTGGATATCCCCAACCATAAATCCCAACTATATAGTTGGGGTCCTGCCGGATTCAATATGTGCATTTGTCCATGTTTTTTCCGGATACAGCCCGATAGAAAATTTATAGGAAATTACCTATAGGCACACCATAACTTTTACATTTATGCTATTAAGACCTATAGCAAATAAATCAATAAAGGATATATATATATATATATATATATATATATATATCCCTATAGGGATATCCCTATAGAACAAGCATAAAACATTTGACCAAATTTTATTAAAACTTATGGGGTCCTATGAGGAAAAAACTAATTTCTACATTTATGTGTATTTTCCCCATTAAAAGCAAAAGCAAATAAATCAAGGGTGGATATCCCCAACCATAAATTCCAACTATGGGTCCTATACATACCGATACACCCTATAGAAACACCATACATTCCTATACAAATATCTATCGGTTTGAACAGGGTCTCTATGGGGTATTTTAAGCAGGGAAGGTAAATAAAAATCAGACAAAGGAACGAAAGAAAAGAACTGTTTTCAACACAATCAAATGCAGAAATGATAATATTCAAAATAGGTACTTGCATCCATCAAAAGATCAAAACTTCGTGCAAAATTGAATTACACCCTCTTTTTATACTATCAGAAATATTGACTAGAACAGTATTAGAGAGACTCCAGTTTATATAACTTGGTAGAGTAAAGAGAAGTCGAAACCGTTGCGATATTGCATTGCGCTGTTTTTGTATAATTCTCGGGGACATTAACGAAAATCATTGCCACTAAAATTTGAAAAGCTTTTGTTTCTATTTCTCTAAAGAGATTAGGAATCCGAAGTTGCTGCACCATTGGACTGAACCCTTTTTCAATAATTTCTAGAGACATAAATTAATGCACCATTCGACAGGGTCGAGTTTCTACCTCTCTGTTGAATATAGAAAATCAAAATAATGTATCTTGTAAGACACCATCGAGTTTGACTTTAACTATAGTCGTGCATAGGTATAGAGGCGAAAAATATAAAAACTAATCACGATTCAATACAGTTCTAATAAAACTTTAAGATTTAGTATTCAAAAGGGGAGTCATCCTATACAGTTCTATATTTTTCCGTTTGCTGTGTATATAATTATTGGAACAAAAACCATTATGATATACAAATTTTGTCGATTTTCCAAATAGGATCCAAATAATTTAACCAAGGTCTCGCTAAAACCGTACATATTCAACTTCCGCAACAAGATACTGTGTTCTACTTTGTCGAAGGCCTTTGGAAAATCGGTATAGACCAAATAAACCTGACTTCTTTTATCAAACGAATCAGTAATAAATTGATGATTGACAGAAAGAGTGGATATGGTGGATCTTTTTGTCATAAAGCCATGTTGAGACAAAGAAATATAGGGTTTGATTTGATCATAAATATTGGCATGCACGTATATATACGTTATATATAGTTCAAAGGCATTCGAAAAATTGATTAAAATATAAATAGGACGATAGTTTAATAAGTTACTAGAATCTCCAGACTGAAGTATAGGGAAAACCTTAGCTAATTTCCATGCTTTTGGAAATACGGATGATTTAATGATATTATTTAAAATAATGACTATAGTCTTGTAAACCTCTATCGAGGTTTACAAAAGACTATTGCACAATCCCGTATTATATATAAGAAAACTGGGTAAAAGGCCTGATGTTAATTTATTGGAAAGCTTTTTAAGGTATTTTACCAAAGTTCCTTCGTCTAATAATGGAAGATCTATGCAATTAAAATTAAAAGTTTCTGCACTTTCGTTTTGATTATCGGAACTATTATGCGAATAAACTGACTCAAAATAATTGGCAAAGCCATTTACTATATCAAAGTGCCATTATATAACTTGTTAGGAATTCTAGAGGATTGTTTTTTAGAAAGAATAAATGACCAAAATTGCTTGGGATCTTTTTTAATATTTAACTCAATTTTTTTTATATACTGCTTGTAAGTAATCAAAATTTTGTTTTTTATTACACAACGAAGTCTGGAGAATTCATCATAGTAATACCTATTATTTGTTTTTTTGTACTTTTTAAAATAATTTGTTTTTAAGTTTATATTATGGAATATTTCAGAACTATTCCAACTTGGATAGCTTAATTTTTTGGTTTAAAAACAGGTATAAAGAGATCAAATATAGAGTAAAGTTTTTCGTAAAATTCGTCACACATACTATTTATACGTTTGAATAGTTATTTAAAAAGTTTCAGTCTATAAGTTGCTAGTTATTATATAACCCCACAAAATTAGCCTTTTAATTTTTGCATGCAAAGTTTGAAATGAAATTGGAAGTTTTATTATTAGTTAGTAGACGAACTTGTGTGTTTAAAATATTGTTTATTTGTTTAATAATTAAAAGATTTTCCATTTCTATTAAAACGAGTTTTTTTGTCACCACTATCTATAGATTACAATATTTGTTTATATTAAAATCTCCTAAAATTAATATATTATTATTATCAATAACAATTTGTTCAAAAGTTTCAAAAAATATTTCAAACTCAGCTGCTGTGACATGTAGAGGCATATAAAATACATAAATAAACAATGTTAAAGAATTAAATCTACATTTACAACCTAAAAAGAGCATTACAATTCTTTAAATCTAGTGTTATAACATTAAATGCAGACATAAATGCAATCGAGAAGTGTTTGTTTCTAAAAGGGAACGATCTTTGCGAAACACAATATAACTATCTGGGAATAGCTCAACACTATTAACATCCTTACACAGCCAAGTTTCCACTAGAGCTACAAAGTTATAATCCAATGTAATAGTTGACAAATAAACATACATTGCTTTTCCTTAAAATGACAAAACTTAAATATAAATTATAGTTATTGTATTAAAAGTATTGAAACTTTGCGACAAACTCGCTAGATATATATATTAATTAAATATTCTGCAAGCATTTCTCTTATCACCGCTTTTGTTTAATTTCGTTCGGATCTCGTGCCAGCATCGACAGACGCGTTTCGTTCTTGTGGAACTCATCAGTGCCGAGTTGCTATAGGCTTGAGACCCAAACGAAATCTTTACTTCCTTTCCTTATATTGGAAAGGAATAGTTCAAAAGCGCGTTGAAAAACGATAGATGGCACCATTGTGCAGGCAAATTCTCTTCTCACCGCTTTTGAACTATTCCTTTCCAATATAAGGAAAGGAAGTAAAGATTTCGTTTGGGTCTCAAGCCTATAGCAACTCGGCACTGATGAGTTCCACAAGAACGAAACGCGTCTGTCGATGCTGGCACGAGATCCGAACGAAATTAAACAAAAGCGGTGATAAGAGAAATGCTTGCAGAATATTTAATTAAATATAAATTATATTAGGTAAAGTTATAATTCCGAACCGAATTGGTCCTTTGGAAAAAAAAACAAGAAAATGCAACAATTTAGGTAGTTACTATAGTTACTATAGTTACTACATTTAAAATTAAAAACAATAATTCACCATGATAACTTAAATAAATTACGCACACTAACGTAACTATATAAGCATAATATGCTTATATTATAAGCGTTGAGTTTCTTAATCAATGATGTAAGGAAAAATAAATACATATCGAGTACTGAACCAAAGTTTTTCAGTTTTTTCTTGCAAAGCGAAACACAAATAACGTTTTAGCTGTGCAATTGAAACTTTGCTAGCTAAATGTTTCGAGTAAGATTTCTGCTTTCCTATCTTTTGTGAAAAAATACTTATTTATTTAAAAATGATGTGCAGTTCGTATGCTTTAAATGTATTGTTGACAATTATGGGATTCCCACAATGCTATCGAGCGCTTTTTTTAGAATCCTATTTTATCTTATCTTCTGCCAATTTCGGTTCCTGTATCTTTAAAAACACCATTTATTTTACGTAGTTACAATAGTAATATATATTTTTAAAAGTTGTTACCCAAAATAAAAAGTAAGTACTTTTAACATTTATAAATTATATTAACCTTTGGCGTTTTTTTTTATTTTTCTTATAAAAATACTAAAAATAAAAGTTAAACTTGTTTAATATTTGCCTTTTTTTAGAATTATGTCCTTATTATTTATAATATTTTTTGTACAAATATTAAATGGATATGACCAATTTTGTATGGAAGACTTTCAACGTCGCCTTGTTTATGTTCCATACTATGGGAGACAAAATTGCATTACATACCATGAATTAAACTGTACAAATATCAATAGCCTCTTCACCACTAATATTAAATATAATGACAATTATAATTGTATGAAAGTTGTTAAAAACAAAATAAAAAAATTTCGTATTACCACAGAAATACCGGAAAATATTTCATCCTCGTATTTTGAGAACAGTTTTAATAAATTTAAATTTACGGAGCTTTATCTAACCAAACTAAATATAGTTAATATAATACCAGGAGCCTTTAACAAAATTGGCGATAATATGAGTTCTTTATATTTGGATAATAATAACATACAAATTATAAGGGAGGGAGTATTTAACTCCCTAACTGATCTTAAAATATTAAGTTTAGAAAATAACAAAATTGAGTTGGTAGGGGAACATGCATTTTCCGGTTTATCAAATCTGGTACATTTAAACTTAAAAAATAATTTAATCAAGTATTTACATCAAAACTTGTTTTATCCGTTAAAAAATCTTTATCTTTTGGATATTTCTGAGAATTTAATAAATACCGAAAACTACTTCAATTGTAAGTTTTCTAATATTTCAAAGTATTATATTGGACATAATAAAATAAATCGTTTGAATAATGCAATGTTTAATAACGTTTTAACACTTAGTAGTTTGGATCTAAGCTACAATAATATATCTGATATTGAACATCAAACTTTTTTAAACCTCACAAATTTAATTGATTTGAATATAAGTAATAATAAATTAGTTAAACTATCTGGAAGCTTACATTATTTAGTTAGTTTAACCAAACTAGACTTATCTCACAATCACCTGCACAAAATTTCCATTGGATTCTTTGACCATTTCAATAACTTAAAATCTTTAAATTTAACTCACAACAGTATTATTTCTGTTTACGGATTCACCGTATTAAACGTTGAGTACTTAGGACTTGCTTATAACAAAATAAAAGATTTTAACGAGAAAACTTTAAAATCGTTTCCTCACTTAAAAACAATAGCATTGGACGAAAACGCATGGAATTGTAAAATTCTAACTGGTGTAGTCCAAGAATTACGTTCCAGATTAATTGTAATTGAAAGAGGACATGAACGTAATGAAAGTAATGTATTTGGCATAAAATGCTCGGAATCAGACAATGCAATAATTGAATCTAACGATACAAATAAAGATAGTAATTTTGTAATTGAAAGAATGTCCAATGTGGTTCAAAATCAACTTGTTTATGTATTAAATTCATCGATGGCTCGATTTTATAACAATATCACCATTAAACTAAATGAAATATTAGCAAATAAAACCACACCAAGTATAAGTAACATTTCCCCTGCCAACTTGGTTGCAAACAATTCAAAAAATTTGGAAACTACTCCATTTATAAGCATTCTTATTGTAATGACAGTTATTTTGTTATTTGTTCTATGCACATTCCCAGTAAACACACAATCGTACATTTTACGTTTTTTTTACGTGTGAGTAGTGAATTTTACGTTTATGGTAAGTTAGACACGTTTTTCTAACGTATAATTATGGGGTTACATAACACGTATTTTAAAAGATGTCAATGTGCCATTTTTTTAACGTTTATTTAAAGTCTTTTTTATGTGTTCTTTTTGCGGTTCGTTTTAACGTTTTATATACGTGTTTCATCGAGTTAAATTAGTGTAATTTATAAAACGGTTTCATTTTCCCATATTTTTAACGTTTTTTTAAGCATCTTATAAATCGAAAAATTTACTGTTCCATTTAACGTTAAAATTACGTCAATGGTTAAGTATATTTTAACCCCTTAAAAAACGTTTCTATTTTTCCCAATTTTTAACGTTTTTTTTAGCATATTATAGATCGAAAAATTGACTGTTTCATTTAACGTTAAAATTACGTCAATGGTTAACTAAATTTTTACTACTTTAAAAAACGTTTCTATTTTTCCCAATTTTTAACGTTTCTTTTAGCATATTATAGATCGAAAAATTGACTATTTCATTTAACGTTAAAATTACGTCAATGGTTAAGTATATTTTAACCCCTTAAAAAACGTTTCTATTTTTCCCAATTTTTAACGTTTTTTTAGCATCTTATAGATCGAAAAATTGACTGTTTCATTTAACGTTAAAATTACGTCACTGGTTAAGTACATTTTAACCCCTTTAAAAAACGTTTTTTAGCATCCTATAGGAAAATTGAGTGTCCCATTTAACGTTAAATGGGACACTCAATCATAAATTGATATTAATTTTTTCAATTTTCAAAATAAATAAATTTTATTGTTAGTTCAGAATCTCAACTTCAGATGGACGCAGTAATGTTTGGGTTCAACCAACCAAAGAACGCAGTGAGCAACAGGTGATCTTCACAGCCAATAGTATTGATCTACTGTTGCGAGTGAACACGATCTTTACCGGGTTGTCGCGAACTCGTCAACGTTCTGTGGTTCTTGTGCTTGGTGGCGTGGAAAATGGCGATTATCGGTCTTTCATGATGCTTTTTTGTGTGCTAGCAGCTGTTGAAAACGTTTTTAAAAACTGTATTTAGTATTGTTATTTGTATTATTTAATTAGTGCCCTTTTTGGTTTAATGCAGGTGAGTACCTACTTCTTATAATGTTTTATAAATGTTTCCTTAATACCCCATTTATTGTTATTTACGAGTCAAACTCCATAATCCAGTGAGTTAAGGAATGGTCCAGTGAGTTAAGGAATGGTTAAAAGCCGCAAATACAAGAATGAGCAACAAAAAAGGGGAATAATGTGGAAGGTATTATTATATCTATGTTTTAATTTTTTGTCATGTTTTCTATTTGTATGTTATTTTAAATTTTATTTTTTATCAAACTTTGTTTTCTGTTTTTATCAGTGATTTAGGTTTTAAATAGCACATGGAATCACTTTAATTTTTTTATAAATAATAAAGTTGTTTATTAAATAAATGTGTTTTTTTTCAGTCAAAGGTATTGGCTATTAACCATACGATATACCTATTTACCTAATCAACAAATGAATTCAGATTTTTATCATACATTTACCGCTTTAATAAAAGTGAGATTTGTCTTAAAATTTACGTGTATTTAGTATTGCTGCATATATAAACGATATTTTTTATGTGAATTTAACCAGTACATTTGGAGATATTTATAAATATCGCCAAATGTAGGTACTGGTTAAATTCACATAAAAAATATCGTTTATATATGCAGCAATACTAAATCAAAATTAAACCGATTTTTATGTGTATCCATAGACTAAAGGAAATACGTGAAATTATCGTATTTTTTAACCGATTTTTATGTGTATCCATAGACTAAAGGAAATACGTGAAATTATCGTCTTTTTTTAACCTACTTTTAACGTTATTTATTTCCGTCAATTTTTGCTCTTTCAATTACGTTAAAAAATCACTTATTTCAAAGGTTGAAAACACGTTAAATTATTCGTAAAAAATTACGTTTTACGGTGAGACATTTTAACGTAAATATTACTATATACATTTACCTAATATTCACGTATGTTTCCCAACCAATTTTATACGTAAATTTAACGTCTGTGTGTTTACTGGGTTGGTATATATTATATTTAAATTAAAGAATAATAAAAACCTATTGCAAGAACAAATACCTCTAATGTAATGACAGTTAATGAGAACACACGACAACCGTGGGTCTGTAATTATAATCGATGTAGGTATACATATTTTATCTATAAGTAGTGTAATGGACATTTTAAAAACCTGTTTGTAATAAAATAGTTTTGTATCACTTGTTACTTTCCTTTCTAAACACATAGGTACCTATATTTTGTACATGGTTTTGAGGGGATGTTACTATATAGTGAAAGTAACACTTTTATGTGTTACAATTCAAAACAATAAGAAATAAATATAAAAAAGTTGCCTATATTTCTCTCCGACCCATATAATATCTATGTAATAAAAATCACGTCGATCCGTTGCCGCCGAAAAAGCAAACATACTGCAGCAAGACAATGCTAGGCACGAATTTTTTTGAGAAACAAATTTTAAGTGCTGTGGAGTGGCCAGCCAATAGTCACGATTTAAACCCAATTGAACATATTTCGAGCATTATGAAAAGGCGTTTGCATACCGCCAAAGACCAAATACCCTTCAAGAGCTATAAGGGTACAAGAGCATACATCAAAATCTGATAGACCAGCTAATAGAATCGATGCCAAAAGATGTGCTTAGGTTTTAGAGCACGGGGAGGACGTACCCATTATTAAATTTAATTTATTGCTAAACTTGCTCGTTTTTTCATTTTCTTTAAAATTAAATACTAATAGTTTTTTTTTGCAAAACGTGTGGGTACATTATTTTACATTATATATATATATATATATATATATATATATATATATATATATATATGTATATGTATACAATTTCTTGCAAAAAGGACTGGAAGGCAGTTTGTTAACTGATTCAAGTTCCAGACCAAAGAAGAAGAAATATATAATATATAATAATATTATATAATATAATTTAAATTTAAGAACAAAATATGAAAAAAATATCTAATCTTAAGACAAGTAGTACGTAAAGTTGACGTGGTGAGAGTATTTTACAATCAGATCTGTTAATATTGTTCATGAAGTTATTATATACTATCCAAAGCCTGTGAAATTCATCAAGCCGCCATCAACCAAATAATTTAGAGCATCATGAGAGCATTTAACAAATCATTTTTGTCGCCATTATTATCGTATAAAAATAAAAATAATGTTTTTCATGATTCTTACAAAATCAAAATGTCATCGCTAAGGGCCGGCGTTAGCTTATTAGAGGCCAGGTGCAAAGGAAAAATGCGGGGCTTGAACTTAAAATAAAAATTTACTCTTGAAAATTAACATAGCGCCTAGCGGCAATAAACTAATAAATCATCAAACGATAGAGCTGAAACCGCCAAGTGCATTTTTAAGTCAAAATTTCTTAAGCATGTTAGCGGATAGTAGAAAATTTTGGCTTAAAAATGCATTTGGGTGGTTTCAGCTCTGACCCCTTCAATTAATATGGAAATTAACGTTTAAGAAAAAATCACACATATGTTTTCCGTGCTTTGGCGGAAGCAAAGGCGTCAATGGTTTTTGAAGTCATATCCAGTTCTCTTCCAACATCCTTCTCTATTGACAATATAGCCAAACCCACTAGTCGTTCTTGGCACATACTTGATCTTAAATAATTTTTATTAATTTTAATTTTGAAAAACTTCTTTCCGCAGAGGCAACCGTGACGGGCAAGGTAAGTAAAATTCGAATTGCGACGCAGATATTTGGATAGGCCAAAAACAGCTTTGTAGTTTGAAGGTATTTTAGTATGTTTAAGAGCGAACTTTGGTTGATTTCAGGAATTATTGGAATTAAAGATGTTAGTTCTTCAAACAATTCTAAGTAATCAATATCGGAATCGGCATTTTCCGCGGATAAAACAGAATGTAGGTTTTTGCAGTTATTTTGCAATTCTTCATCGGGAAGATCTTTGATTTTTGTAAATTCATACATAAATCCAAACTTTTTCCTAATACCCTCATATAATTTAAATCTTTTCTTAAAGGATTCTATTGCTCTATCAAGGACTAATAGGAATAATTCAACACGAAAATGTTCTTCTTTGTCCTCGAACGTTTCATCTGTACCTTCATAGTCAAAAGATTTTTTGACTCTTCTACAAAAGATATTATCTCTGGCATCGACCACATATTATGTTCAACATAATATGTTGTCGCGCGGCGCTTACCGGTTGCCAAAATGTACAATAATTTCGTCGAGACGCCTTGACGCGCGCGGGGCCTATAAAACGCGGGGCCGGGTGCACCGCACCGTGTGCACATGCCTCACGCCGGCCCTGGTTAAAGTCCTATGCAACACAGATTGTTTTTAAATGAAACGTTTTTAATGCTGCTATAAAATTATTTTATAAGTATTCTGTAATGGTGTTTTACCACTAATAGCCTTTTAAAACGATACTTATAAAATATTTTTATAGTATTGTCAAAGAACACAAAAATGTTGTTTAGGATCATCCGGGACCTCACTTACAGCTCTATTAAAAAACTGTTTTGTAAAGTTTTTATAAAATGCTAAATATTGTTATATAATTATCATGGGCGATCATTATATAACGTCTATCGGATACAATTGTTTTATAAACTTGCGCCTTTTCCATGTTTATAAGCGCCATATTAAAGGTTACCAGTTATTTTTAAAATAAAAGTGTTATATTAAAAATTGTTACATATAGTAAGGTATATGACAATTTTCAGCGCGTTTGTGCTACTTGGGACTTGCTTGTACTTTTTTTTAAATTCAGGGATTTAAGATGTATCATCGTAAAGCCAGTGAAGATTGTATGAAAAGGATCCACAAAACTTAGAGGTGATATGCATTGGTGGAGATATTATGCCTTTAAAGCGCAGATTTAAGGTATGAAAATGACTTATGAATATTATTTTATTGTAGAGGTAAGGAGGGCATTTGTTAACAATAATAGAGTGGTATAATGTGGCCTGGTGTAATGTTCTTCTGTTTTCCATAGTTAACCAATTGGCATTTTTTAATGTATAGGATACTGAGTCAAACTTCCTTATACCGTAAATAAAGCGCAAACAACTCTTCTGGACTCTTTGGATGCTATTTCTATCCAATTGAACTAAACAAGGGCCGTACACTACATCACAGTAATTAAAGTGGCTAAGTACTAACGATTCAGTCAACACTTTTTTAAAACTTGTGAGTATATGACGGTGAGGGTATAGTATTTTCAAATTTAAATACCTATGACGATTTAATGCACTTAGTTATATGTGAAGAGAACCTTAGATTATTATCAATTAATAAACCAAGGTTCTTGGCTTCATTAACACATGGTAGTATATTATTATTAATAGAAATATTAATGTTGTTCTCAATTTCGAGTTTATTTTTTCCAAATATAAGACCACATCATTTTAAGGTATTAATTTTGAGTTGGTGCTTTTCTGAGATTCCAATTAAATCACGCAGATCACTATTTATACCCTCAGTTGCTTGGTCAACTTGCAAGGGATTAAATAAATATTTTAGCTGTGTATCGTCAGCATACAAACAGGACTGACAGTGATTTATTGATTTAGTTATATTTAATGTATAAATACAAAACAACAATGGTCCCAATATGGAACCCTGAGGGACACCACATTAAATAAGAGCTCTGTCTGATTTTCCTTTATCGGTTTCGATAAACTGCATTCTCTCTCTAAAATAACTCTGAATAAGGTGAATTGCCACATTTGAAAACCCATTATAATGAAGAATAGAAAAAAGAATTTCGAGATTGATGGTATCGAAAGCCTTCGAATAGTCTAATAATATTAAAGCTGATGTTTTTCCATTAGCATAGCTATATAGCTATATATATATCTTTTAGAATATCATCTGTTAAATCTGAAAGTGCTGTGGTACAACTATAACATTTTCTAAATCTCGATTGAGTGGCGGGTAGTATATTATTTTTTTAAATGTACCTACGTCTTATGTCTCATTTAAAAATTCATGATTTTTTCGAGAACTTTGGATAATACAGGTAAGATAGAGATAGGACGTAGCTCATTAAAGCTAGTAATATTTGGCTTTTTGAGCAGTGGCAGAACTTTAGAAACTTTCCATTTTTCTGGAAAAATAGAATGTAACAAACATAAATTTATTATATTGGTGATATGAGGTAAAATTCGGGGATAACATATCCAAACTTATTTCATAAGGTGCCTTGGTTTTAATTTCACTTAAATATTTTAATATTATATATAAACTATAGTTTACGGTACCAATGAAAAATTTTCCCTAAAATTTGACTCATAAAAGCAATTCTTGATCAGGTTGAGAGTTACCTGAAAGTTCTAAAAAAATGCCTGTTTATCATTCCTGGGTGATTAAGAACTTCTGGTAAAATATTATAATACCTATAGGTTTACCTTTTTATGAAAATAAAGTTCATTAAATTTTTTCCAAAATAATTTACCCTGATTTTGAAAGGTTCTGGCACAATATTCTATATAATTCTTTTTCTTTTCCCGTATTGCAGTGGTAGTAAAATTTTTAATATTTTTACAATATTCACAATGAGCTTTATTTTTAGATTCTTTAAATTTACGTAGTGCGTTGTGTTTTAGTTTTATAAGTTTTTAAAAATTATCTGTAAACCAGCCTGGCTTGGGTTTTTTTATAATAATATTTTGAGTTGGTGCTAGTGTATTAAGACTATTTAATAAAAATTCATTAAACGTTTTAATGTTTGGTATATAAAAAATATTCTCATTAAAAAATTATTTAAGAGATCCTCATCCAATTGATTTAAATTTCTTATGTTACATCTAATTGTCCTTAAAAGATTAATCTTAAAACTTAATTCGCAGAATGTTAACAAATGATCAGATACATTAAAAACCTCTACCACACCGCAGTTGTATTTTTCAGTTTGATTTGAAATCAGAATTACATCAATAAGTGTAGCTGAGCTTTTTGTTAAACGGGTGGGACCAAAAATAATTTGTTTTAAATTTAGGGAGTCAACGCATTCGTTAAATTGGGTAGTAGCATTACTGGAGTTAAATAAGTCAATATTAATGTCACCGCCACAATTAATCTCATTACATGTAGATATTAAGTCTGATATAGTGTCCTCAAGAATATTTTGAAAATGGAGATGCCAAATTTAAAAATAAAAAATTCCTAGGTAATAGTGTAATCAAATGAGAGCAAAAAAGCCGCAGTCAATACCGAGAGACCTCGCCTAGGTTAAACGTAGGAGATTTAAAAGTTGCTAGGAGACGATAGAACATTGTTTAAATATTTTCTCTGACTGTGTTTGCTAACCTTTCAAAAAGAAATGTCATACTTCAGGACGCCATTGTTTTAAATTAAAAATTAAACAACTAGTTCTGTACCCCAGAGCAAAGATAATGCCCCAGAGCCGAAATCTCTAGTGACAGAATTCCACTCTAGCGGGATCATTTTCCGGCTACAGGTGCTGCACTCGCGTAAAATGAACCTTTATAACCCGCTGAACTGTAAACGGGAAATTCGCGTGCAACATCCATTATGCTTTTCCTACTATTTGCATCAAAGGCATTGAAAATAGCTTCTTTATTTGTTTCAATGCGTTAAGGAGTACCTTCAATTTCGTTACAACGCAGAACAACTTTTCATTTCAGGGGACGATCGGGAAAGCGCTGGGAAAAATCTCGTTCTGCCTCCCTAGCATTGCGCCCACACTACCCTTAAATAATTATCATTTCGGCATAATCAGAGGAGGAAAACATAACTTAAAATGATAAATATTGACAGGACCAAATTTGACAGCAGTGTCACAATAAAGTGGATTCCAGTTACATATAATGCATCCTAGCAATTTAAATAATTACACAGGCCGACAAAAATAAAATTTCTGTTTGGTACATGGCAACCAACAACTTTTTAAGGGTAATTTAGGTACGCTGAATCCAAAAATGAACATCATTTTGCTCAATCAGCTCTTGTTTTTGCGATGTAGAATAAAAACCATTTTTTTCGATATGCGCACATTCAAATTCTTATTTATATTTTTTTAAACTTCTATTTTAAGCAAGGATAGTTGGGAATGTTTCTATGGGTCTTTATTTAACTAGAAAAATTATACCGTATACATTGATAATGGTATTCTCTTTAAAAATCTTGCTTTCATCGAAAGAAAATCGATTTTTTAGCCAAAATTCGGATATATTTAAAATTCAAAGTGATACAGCATGATTAATTTTAGCCCGATATAAATAAAATTTACCCTATTTGTAGCTCTATTTATCTACTTTATAGTGTTAAAATTTCAATGCAATCAAAAATTGAATGAGAGTAGTGCTGCCGTGCATGCATGCTAAGCTAAACCCCCGTATCTGCAATATTAAATAAAAGATCATTTTTATTGTTAAAAACAATAAAAACTATCTTTTGTCCTTTATTATTTCATATTGCAGATACGGGGGTTTAGCTTAGCACGGCAGAGTGTATGATAGTAGAGTATTGAGAGCAGCAACAGACACTCTACTCATACTCTCATATACTAAAACTAATAGAAAAAAAACAATAATATTTTTGACATCTTCTTATTAGACATTCTTAAAATCAGGTCTAAAATCCTAGGCTCAAAAATTGTCCACTTAAATAGGCTCTGTGAATATTAATAGCTATTCACGGAGTTTATTTAAGTGGTACACGTAGTACCCAATTTTGATTGATTTTATTGCAATTGCCAATTTTTATTTGGTTGCATTGAAATTTTATCACAATAAAGTAGATAAATAGAGCTGCAAATAGAGTAAATTTTATTTAAATCGGGCAAAAATTCATCATGCTGTATCACTTTCAATTTTAAAATTTTCCAAATTTTGGCTAAAAAATCGATTTTGGCTAAAAAATCGATTCTCTTTCGATAAAAGCAATATTTTTAAAGAGAATACCATTATCAATTTATATGGTATTTTTTTTACAGTTTAATAAAGACCCATAGCAACATTACTAACTATCCTTGCTTAAATTAGAAGTTTAAAAAAATATATTTAAGCATTTGAATGTGCGCATATAAAAAAAATGTTTTTTTTCTACATCGCAAAAATAAGAGCTGATTGAGCAAAATGATGGTCATTTTTGGATTCTGCGTACTCAATGGCTGTCGGCCAGTGTTATCTATGGCCATGTATCGGATGGCTATTTTTCGTATATCGCTTATCCTTTGCGTTAGATAATTTTAATTTTTAAGTATTTGTCTCGCATAACTTTTGGCACGTTCCCTTTTTCTCTGTGGCGCAAGTTCTCGGACACCCGGTATGTATCGAGGGTGTTTTGAGAAAGGCGATCCCAATAGAATATTATCTTATCTTATCTCCTGTCAATTTTGGTTCCTGTATCTTTAAAAATACCATTTATTTTACGTGGTTACAATAGTAAAATATATGTTTAAAAGTTGTTACCCAAAATAAAAAGTAAGTACTTTTAACATTTTTAAATTATATTAACCTTATAAAATACTGAAAAAAAGTTAAATTTGTTTAATTAATATTTTATTTTTTTTTAGAATTATGTTTATAATATTCGTAATATTTTTTGCACAAATATTAAATGGATATGACCAAATTTGCATGGAAGACTTTCAAGATGTCATTGTTTATATTTCAGACTATAGAAGCGAAAATTGCCTTACATACCATGAAGTAAACTGTACAAATATTAATAGCCTCTTGACTACTAATATTAAAAATGATGAAAATTTTTTATGTACCATATTTGTTCAAAACAAAATAAAAAAATTTCGCATAACCACAGAAATACCAGAAAATATTTTACCGTCATATTTTGAGAAAAGTTTTAATAAATTTAAATTTTTGGAGCTTCATCTAACCAAACTAAATATACTTAATATAATACCAGGGGCCTTTAACAAAATTGATGTAAGTTCCTTATATTTGGATAATAATAATATCAAAATCATAAGGGAGGGAGTATTTAACTCCCTAACTGATCTTAAAGTATTAAGTTTAGAATATAATAAAATTGAGTTAGTAGGGGAACATGCATTTTCCTGGGACATTTAAACTTGAAAAATAATTTAATCAAGTATTTACATCAAAACTTGTTTTATTCGTTAAACAATCTTTATCTTTTGGATATTTCTAAGAATTTAATAGGTACCGAAAAATACTTCAATTTTAAGTTTTCTAACATTTCAAAGTATTATATTGGACATAATAAAATAAACCGTTTAAATAATGCAATGTTTAATAATATTTTAACACTTAGTAGTTTGGATCTAAGCTACAATAATATATCTGATATTGAACATCAAACTTTTTTAAACCTCAGAAATTTAATTGATTTAAATTTAAGTAATAATAAATTAGTTAAACTATTTGGAAACTTACATTATTTAGTTAGTTTAACCAAACTAGATTTATCCCACAATCACCTGCACAACATTTCCATGGGATTCTTTGACCATTTCAATAATTTAAAATCTTTAAATTTGACTCACAACAGTATTATTTCTGTTTACGGATTCACCGTATTAAACGTTGAGTACTTAGGACTTGCTTATAACAAAATAAAAGATTTTGACGAGAAAACTTTAAAATCGTTTCCTCACTTAAAAACAATAGCATTGGACGAAAACGCATGGAATTGTAAAATTCTAACTGGTGTAGTTCAAGAATTACGTTCCAGATTAATTGTAATTGAAAGGGGACATGAACTTAATGAAAGTAATGTATTTGGCATAAAATGCTCGGAATCAGACAATGCAATAATTGAATCTAACGATACAAATAAAGATAGTAATTTTGTAATCGAAATAATGTCCAATGCGGTTCAAAATCAACTTGTTTATGTATTAAATACATCGATGGCTCGATTTTATGACAATATTACCATAAAACTAAATGAAATATTAGGAAATAAAAACACACAAAGTATAAGTAACATTTCCCCTGCCAACTTGGTTACAAACAATTCAAAAAATTTGGAAACTACTCCAATTATAAGCATTCTTATTGTAATGACAGTTATTTTGTTATTTGTTCCATGCACATTGATATATATTATATTTAAATTAAAGAATAATAAAAACTTATTGCAAGAACAAATACCTCTAATGTAATGACCGTCAATGAGAACCCAACCGTGGGTCTGTTAATATAAATAAATAAATAAATAAATAAAAACGACTTTATTAATTCCTTAACCAAAAATTACATAAACAAAACCAATATGCTTCAGTGTGGCGAAGTCTAGCTTTAAGCTATTCTACTCAACCACTAGAAACCAAAAGAAAAAAGTACATGACGGCAGGTCGAGCATAAATTCTCAACAATTATGTAAGTACATATACATATATATATACCTAGTTATCATATAGATAAGGAAACAAAAAAACGTACAAGGAGCACACAATATTTCCAAAAACAGTTCACAATTATGTTGCAAATAGGTATTCTTTCAGTTCTTTCTTAAATTTTATCATTGTTAGATTTTTAAATGTACTGGGCAGCGAGTTATATGATGCTATTGCATTATAAACATAGCTTCTTTTGAAAAGCGCAGTTCGATATTTAGGGATTGACAATAGGTTATCACTCCTTAAATTAATATCTACATGAACGGATTTTTTGACGAGTTATAAACTTAGATTTTAGAGGGGTAGAGTGGGGACTTTGCAAGAGCTGATGGGTAAAATTCATCAAATGAAGTTTCATACGCTTGTCCATTTTCAACCAAGATAATTCCTTTATTTTTTCAGAGACATGATCGTTTTTCTAAGGTTAAAAATAAGTCTACAGCAGTTATTTTGAATTTTTTGTATTCGAGTTTTGCACGCAACATCTAAGCATGTGCCGTAAACAAAATCACAGTAGTTAAAATTTGATAAGACCAAACTTTCACATAAATTGCGTTTCAATGTTTTATTAAGAAAATGTTTGTTTGAGTAAAGAAGTTTAAAGCTTAGAAACGATTTTTGTATTAATTTTTTAACATGCTCACGAAATCTTAGCTTAGTATCTAGTATGATTCCAAGATTTCGACGACTTTTAGAGTAGTGTTATCAATATAATCGATGTATCTACTTATTTTATCTAGAAGTAGTGTAATGGACATTATAAAAACCTGTTGGTAATAAAATAGATTTGTATCACTTGTTACTTTTCTTTCTAAACACCCAGGTATATTTTTACTTGGTTTTGAGGGGATGTCAGTGAAAGTAACATTTTTATGTGTTACAAATCAAAACAAGACAAGGATAGGCGCAAATTTTTTTGAGAAACAAAATTTAAGTGCCATGGAGTGGCCAGGCAATAGTCCCGATTTAAACCCAATTGAAGATCTTTGGAGCATACCGCCAAATACCAAATACCCTTCAAGAGCCATAATGGTACAAGAGCTGATAGACCTGCTACACAGTAAAAAAATGTTTGTTAAATTTAACCAAATAATAACAAGATCTTATGTTAATCCAGGTCCACATCACTTTTTGTTAAGTTTACAACCCACTGTAATCTGTTAACTAATTGAATAAGTAGTTTGTTATTATTACTGATATTTTGTAGATTTAATACCAAAATCCTATGTCAATTTCAACCATAATTTTTGTATTTTTTACAAACTTTTATGTAGATGTGTATCAAAAGTATTTGTTGTAAATTGAGAACTTTAAAAAAGAGAATTTGTTATAAGAAATGTTGCTTTAACACATACCTACATAAATGAACAAAAAAATAACACACACAAAATTAAATAACACACCATTCTGAAATAATTATATTTATATAATTTAAATATAATTTATATTATATTATTATATTATATTATTATTATATTTATATTATTATTATTATGTAGAAATTTGGTACAATATAACTATCAGTACTAGTAGTAGTACTGTACTACTCAAAACTTACTGATTTACTTTAACTTAACTATATCGCCTAATTTTAATTTGAAAACCAATAATGACATTATAAACACTCCTGTCACCGTTAAATATTATAAACACCCGTTGACGCTGACACAACATGTTGATAAGTGTGCTTGGAAATGTTTTGATTGGCTGCCTGAAATCACGTGTACTTTTTCAACGGAATAATTTGTTAAACATTAACAAAATAATCTGTAACCTTTGAAATTAACAAAATGCTTACAAAATTGCATTATTAACTAACTACAAACTCATGTTAACAAATCTTATTTTTATAACAGTCTAATATAATTATAATCGATGCCAAAAGATGAACTTAGGTTTTAAGATGTCGGGAAGGACGTAACCATTTTATTTTGCTCTAAAATTAACAGATTTTTATTTTTTTTGTAGTTGTGAAGGTACCTATTTTTTTGTTGAAAAATTCGGCTTTTTTATCAAAAAAATCCTTGAACAAGTCGATTTTAATTTTCAATGAAGCAAATTTTGAAGTGGAATTTTTATATTTTCCTCCATTTTTGTAGAATCTCTTACGTAATCGGCCATTTTTTGTAATGGCACCCCCTTTTTTTATTCGAAAAGCTTATAAAATTGTAGTTTTGGAGATATTATTAAATGGACAATTTATACTTTTTAATAATGTTTTGATGTAAAAAATATTAGTTAAGCGTTTAGTGAAGTATCTGTTTTAAAATATTTAAAAGTATTTAAATTTTGGCCATTTAACAGAAACACAAAGAATTGAAATTTTAATTCTACTAGTATACACCAAGAAGTTTATTTAATGAAAAGTATCCAGCTCGACCTATTAATTAAACGGAAATATAGAGAGACTGAACATGTAAGTCAATGATATTCCAAAAGCTGGCCGTCCGAGTATTAGTGAAGACACTAAAATTGAAATTTTGTTGCGTGTGGAAGAAGATCCTTGCAGTGCTTCTAGCCTGGTCGCAGCTAAAAGTCAAGTCATCCAACGCTCAGTATTACGTCTTATGAAGAAAGAAAAGTACCATCCATACAAAATTAGACTAGTGCAGGAATTTAACGAAGATGATCCGGACCGTAGACTACAATTTTGTAAAACTATGATAAATTTATGTAACAATAATCCACACTTTCCTCGTAAAATACTTTTTTCGGACGAAGATACTTTTTGTTTGAATGGTACAGTCAATCGTCAGGTACTGGAGCAGAGAAAATCCTCATTGGGTAGTAGAGGCAAATTCCCAATACCGGCAAAAAGTAAATGTCTGGACAGGAATGGTGAAAAATCGGATCATAGGTCATTTCTTCTTTTACGAGAATATGACAGGACAAACGTATTTGGAATTATTGCCAAATTAGCAGAAATGTTTTTCAATGAGAATGGAGGTCCCGATCTATTAAGTGATCCCATTTGGTTTCAACAGGACGGGGCACCTCCGCACTATGCGCGTCCTGTCCGTACTTTTTTGGACACATGTTTTCCTGAGAGGATCAATTTCCGGATCTCACCCCTTTCGATTATTTCTAATGGGGCTACCTTAAATCAAAGGTCTACAAGACTTGAAAAATCAAATTCGTGAAGAATGTCACTTTATTAGTGCGGAAGTCATCTAAAACATTCTAAGAGAATTTTCGGATAGGCTTGCTACTGTAGAACATTTAATTTGTTAATGTATCCATTTTTAAATCACTTTTACATTTAATAATACCCAAAACTAACATACCAAAAGATATTAAAAAAAACCACCGATGACATCATAGCTTTTACAAAAATGGCGGCAATCGACTTGTTCAAGCAATTTTTTGGGGAAAAAAGGCACATTTTTTATGAATTTGTTCCATACTTTTGTCGGTCACTTTATACTAGAATTTCACCAAATTCTAAGTTAATATCTAATTTTGTTAAAAAGTTATGCCGGTTTGCATGCATGTTTAATAAATGTACTATTGATAAAAGCATTTCCTAACAAATTTGTTAAATTTGAAAAATGCGTAAAACTAAAAAAAATCACTACTTAATCTCGGTAGGAGTATTAAACTGAATTAAATTTACACGTTTAATCCTTTTAAATTTGATATTACGTCGGAGACGCCAACTTGTTTGATTATAAATTTAACTGAGACTGACTTGACTTGACTCAACTTCCAAGAAAAGCAAATCCAATTAACTTTGATGATGTTAAACCTTTCTACATTTAAGCATGGTTTTGATATGTAACATTTTGTTAAGAAGCTTGGTTCACGTCAAGTCACGGTTATCATTTGATGATTTAATTTATTATTATGATAATCATAACTAAAATAATTATGTAGAGCGACATCTACATAATATGTATATATATTATATAAAAATGGAGTTACCAACATTGGTAATGGAAATCTGTTTTACTGGCTGATTTCAATGTCAGTTTGACAACTTTTTCTGTAAAAATTAAATTGTAATAACAACACTTTCAATTTGATATAGAAGCAGTTTTTGCAGTGAAAGTAAAAAGGACGTTTTTATGTGTACCCCAATGCATGTATAATTTCTTTATAATTTGGGTTTTAAAATAAAGAAAAAAACAAAACTGTTAATTTCTAGTTTAAAGACAAATGTTACATTTAAAGTCCTTGTTTATTTAACTAATTGGCGAGCAGCGCTAATTTTATTTATACGTGGCAAAGTAATTCTCGTTTAATTTGTTTTAATTAGATTAACAATTAAGTTAAGCTGGTAATTTAAATGAAACCACAATCATACTTTATTTATCTAGTCATTAACATGTGATGTAATATAAATATTATTTTTTGAAACATAACATAATA